TATTGTTTTCTATTCTATCTGTGAAAAAAATAAAATTATTTTGTTGAGGTCATTAGTGGTACTTTATAAATGCTCTCTCTAATCTTGTCCGTATGGATTTAAAGTGTGAACATGCTTCTATTATTGGTAAAAAAAATCAGCTCGTTTGCTCGAACCGTAATGTAGATATTCAATTTGTTTTGAGTAAACTGACTTTTGCACCACCCTGTATATATATATATATATATAAATATATAAATGAATAATAAAGATAGGTAATGTTTCAAATTATCGTTCAAAAAATCCAAAAATATGTGAAGTACAATTTTCATCAACAAATCGTTATCAATTATCAATTCATTCAACAAATGATCAAGATGAACGATATTTACTTGTTATGAAAGGAGCACCAGAAAAAATTCTTAAAAATTGTTCAACTATATATGTTGATGGTTGTGAAATTGAATTTAATAAATATTGGAAAAAACGATATGAAGAAGCATTTACAGAATTAAGTAAAAAACAAAAAAATATTTTCATTTAAATAATTCTAAAAAAGAAAAAAAAAAGACAATAATATTTTTTCTTTTCTTTTTTTTCTTTTCTATAAATAAGGTAATCATGGTGAACGTGTTCTTGCATTTGCTGATTATCGTTTACCATTAAATAAATATCCACGTGGATATCAATTTGATTGTGATACAATTAATTTTCATGTTAATCCTTATTTTGAACATTTTAATTTTCCAACAGATGGTTTGAGATTTTTAGGTTTAATTTCGTTAATTGATCCACCACGTGTTAATGTTGCTGAAGCTGTTAGAAAATGTCGTTCAGCTGGAATACGTTTATTAATGATAACAGGAGATCATCCATTAACAGCTACTGCTATAGCACGTTCTACTGGTATTATAACAGATTATAGTGAAACAGAACAACTTATAGAAAATGTATTTGATAATAATGCTCGATCATGTGTTATTCATGGAAGTACATTAAAAACAATGAATAGAAAACAATTAGATAATCTTATTAAATATCATCAAGAAATTGTTTTCGCTCGAACAAGTCCACAACAAAAATTAATTATTGTTGAAACTTGTCAAAGATTAGGTGAAATTGTTGCTGTTACTGGTGATGGTGTTAATGATTCTCCAGCATTAAAAAAAGCTGATATTGGTATTGCTATGGGAATAACTGGTTCAGATGTTAGTAAACAAGCATCGGATATTATTTTACTTGATGATAATTTTGCATCAATTATAACTGGAATTGAACAAGGAAGAATTATTTTTGATAATTTAAAAAAATCAATTTGTTATACATTATCATCAAAAATTCCTGAATTAACTCCTTTTCTTTTTTATATGATTTTTCAAATACCTTTACCACTTGGTAAGATTTTTTATTTTTTTTTTTTTTATATTCTATATTGAAATATATTGATATATCAATTTATTTAAGGTACAATTGCTATATTATGTATTGATTTGGGTACAGATATGTTGCCAGCTATATCATTAGCATATGAAAGAGCTGAATTAGATATTATGAAACGACCACCAAGAGATGCTAAACGAGAACATCTTGCTACTGATAGGTTTGAAATTTTTATTAATTAAAACGAATTTAAAAAAGAAAAAGAAAAAGAAAAAGAAAAAATTATTTTTTATAAAACTAGACTTATTTCAATGAGTTATGGTCAATTGGGTATGATACAAGCTGGTGGTGGATTTTTTGTTTATACTCTTGTTATGGCTGAAAATGGATTTTTTCCATCAAGATTATTCGGATTAAGAAAATCATGGGATTCAAGATCAATCAATGATCTTGAAGATTCTTATGGACAAGAATGGGTTTGTTTTTTTTATTTGTTTTATTTTAATATTTTTTTTGTTTTTTTCTTTTTAATTTTATTTATAGACTTATGAACAACGAAAAGCATTGGAGGATACTTGTCATACGGCTTTTTTTGTAACTGTAGTCATTGTTCAATGGACCGTTTTATTATGTTGTAAATCTCGACGAAATTCTCTTTTTCGACAAGGAATGTCGTACGTTAGTTTTTTTTTATCTTTCTACTAAATATTTTTTTTTTTTTTTTTTTTGTTTAAATTATTAAAATAAATAAAAAAAGCA